TTTAGGAGACCGCTGCTGCCAGAGATCGTTGGTTTGCGTGTCAGTTGTGTTTTGTTTTGTTTTTTTTTTTTTCTAACCTACTCGCCGTCGCCTCTGCTGAGTGGCTAAACTTTTTACTGTGGGGTTAAAAGCGTCCTCTGGCAGCAGCCCTCCTGGCTCTGACAAAACGGCCTCCTTTAAAAGATGCTCTTGGAGTAGGAGTCGGTGACCCCCAGAGCCCGGAGAAACGGGGTATTGTCAGGATGACCAGATAGTTTGGAAAATTCCCGCATTTCTGAGCAAGCGGCTGAGCAGCACCACAGCGATGCTTGTGTTTGTGGTGATGGTATTGGCAGCATGACAGTTAACTTGGTTGCAAATCTAAAGCTTTCCCTCTGAAGCCCTGTTAAATCTAGAGGTGTCTTTAGCCTGCTTTTGAAGTGTGCGTGTGTGTGCAGTGTCTTGATTGACAGTGCGTGTCGTTGAAGGCCCCTGGGCCTTTAAGTCCTTGTAGATTGATGCTGCCTTTTAAAGATTTATTAAGATAGCACCTTCGGTCTGGGAAGTGACAAGAAGTGTTTTATGGCAGGAACATTTTGTATTATTATCCGCTACTACTTTTTTAAAAAGTATGTGACTAAAAGAAAGCAAAAAGGATGTTGGATTTCCGGTATATGTGGCTTACAGGATTTGAAGCAAAACAGGCAACTTTAGTTTTGAATAATTTAGAGATTACCTTTTTTCCTTCTTCACTTCTTTTGTGGAGATATAAAATACACACGAAGTCAACAAGTGCATAAAAATTAACTGTATATAGGTCACTGACTTTACATGCTTATTACAGTGTTTCCTACTACACACATCAGATTGTAACTGTAGAACATTTCCAGAGTGCTCTGCTTCTTCCAAATCGGTTGTACCCCTGCCTCCCCATCTGTATTCTGACTTCTCTCCTCCACCTTAGTTTGGTTATTTCGAACTTAACATTAATGGAGTTAATATGTAGTGTTCTCAGAATATTGCTTGTGGAAGTCACTCTTCATGGTTTTTTTGGTATGGTGTCATTCGTATCGTGGTATGGTTGTTGATAGTTCTTTTGTAGTGTTCCATTGTGTAGTGTGACTGTTCTGTTCATGAGCATGTGTGCTTCCCGTTTTGTGTTTTATGTGTTTTAGGTATTAAGGATGTTGTGACATTCTTGTAAATATCTTAGTGAGTATGTGAATACATTCCTGCCAGATGTAGAATAACTGAGACATAACTAACACAATGGACTCTTTCTTGTAAAAATGTAACAGAATCTCTTAACTAATTACAACAGTAAAGGCTGGTTTTAAAAGTATAGCTATTATGAGTTAAGGCATGGTTGTGCACACCTTTAATCCCAGCACACAGGAGGCAGAGGAAGGCAGATCTCTGTTAGTTCCAAGCCAGCCAAGGATACACCCTGACACACTGTCCCAAAAAAATGTTATATTCATTATAGTTACTATGTACACTTTGTATTTGCACCAGTGACAATCTTCTCAAAGATTCATTACATTTAATTATCTTTTAGCCACAAGTCAGTTAGAGCAGGCCATGATAAGACTGTTCAGTTTGATAACAGTTAGGTAATTATATTACTCAAGCTAGTGGTTATTAAGGGAAATGTGGTAGCTGTCAGAGGAAATGAAGTACCAAAGGATATAGCTAAAAATGGATTGGAGAATCATGAGATTTCAAGACTATATATAGTTACTGTCATGCAACACAAGTACTAGGTGTAAGTATAAATTGAATTAAATTAATTATGAGGTTACTTTAGGATGTGAATTTATTTATTATACTAGTATAATATATAGTATATTTCCATAACAGAACAAAAATTACTAAACATTTGTAGGAAGCCAGATCATGTAATCTGGGAAAATACAAGAAGCAATTGAGTTGAGGATTTTTAAATATTAGTACCCTCAAGTTTGGAGAGGTAGTTTGCCTACTAAACACACACACACACACACACACACACAGAGAGAGAGAGAGAGAGAGAGAGAGAGAGAGAGAGAGAGAGAGAGAGAGAGAGGGAGAGAGAGAGAGAGAGAGAGAGAATATCGATCCATCAGGAGAAAAAATATTGGCAAACATAAATAATTTCTGGTTTGTTTTTTTTTTCCTCTATCTCAGAGAGGATCTGAAATACTACTTTTCAAAGGGCTCATGGAAAAATAGGCACCTGTGCTAGCAGATCCTGATTGCCGCTCTCCTACCAACTCACAGAAGATACCAAAAATATCAAGAAAAGAAGGATATTTCTCAAAGCAGAAGTGTATGAGTTTATGAGTGAATTGATATACCAAAATTCTTAATATTGTTGAATACACACTTAAATACTGTCTAATAAAATTTATGAACTGTGGAGATAAATACATAATTTTATAAGCTTCTAAAAACAATGTTATATGTATTTATAAAGGACTAGAAGTCAAGATTTCCCAACATTGTATGACAGTAGTGTAGTGTTCTAAAGAGCCTATGGTAACAGGGCATGGTCATGTAAGTGTATAATCCCAGCACATGGTAAATTTTGAAGATTATGAATTCAAGGCCAGCCTTGACTACATTAGGAGAGTCTGCCCCAGAAATGAAATCAATCAAACAAACAAAAATGCCCATAGGACTATTTTGAACTTGGAACCTTATCTTTAAACAAAATCATTTCACCCACATTCAGTAGAATATACAGGATATACTGTATCAGATTAAAAATTTGGGAAAAAAATATATGGAATTCAAAGAAAACAGTGAAACATTTCTTAGCTCCAAGTTGTAAATAAATTTAACTAAGAAATTTAAATGTAATGTTAACGATTTTTTAAGACTTTATTTGTTTGTTTTGTTTGGGGTTTTGTTTTTTGTTTGTTTGTTTTTGCTTTTCAAGACAGGGTTTCATTGTGTAGCCCTGGCTGTCCTGGAACTTGAGACCAGGCTAGCCTCAAACTCAGAGCTCTGCCTGCCTCTGCCTCCCAAGTGCTGAGATTTAAGGAGTACACTACCATGCCCAGCCTGAATTTTTAAGTCTTTAATAAACTGAAGAAAAATTTTAATTTAGCAGTTAGTCAGCTTTCCATTATTGTGATAAACTATTTGAAGTAAAAGGGAAAGGGTTTTTTCTCAAAGTTTCAGCTTCTGTTCACTTGGCCCTGTTGCTCTGGTTCTGTGGCAACATTGTCAACATGGTAGCAGAAACATGTGGCTTACCTTGGGGCCAAAAAGCAAAGAGTGAGGAAGTACACAAACTTCAATGTTCCCTCCAAGAGCACACTCTGTAAGTGGTTAGTAATGATTGTGCTACTTCTCAATAACACTGTAGGCTTAGTTTGGTGAGACATTCCAGATCTAAGAGAGCAATTGAAAAGTAGAAAGTAGTTAAAGGCATATTGGAAGCTTGTCCTGGGCAAGGACATTATAGAAACTGATTACATTCAAGGAAATTTAGGCAGCAGTTACATTTCAGGGATTTATGTGGTAGTGAAATACTGTGTTCAAAGTTAGGTATGTGAAAACCATTCATGCCAAGATTCTTAATAGTGGCAAAAATTTTGGAAGGATACACACAAATTGGGAGGTTGGGTAGAAGAGAGACTTGTCACTCTATACCCTTAATTCGTGTGTGATTTTGTTTTGTTTTGTTTTTCAACACAGGATTTCTCTGTGTAACAGCCCTAGCTGTCCTAGAACTTACTTTGTAGATTCGTCTGCTTCTGCCTCCTGAGTGCTAGGATTAAAGGAGTGTGCCATCATGCCTGGCTACGTTTAACCTTTTTTATCCTGTTCATTTACTTTATGATGTTTTGTAGAACACACCTTTAATCCCAGCACTGGAGAGGCAGAGGTAGGTGGATCTCTTTGAGTCTGAGGCCAGCCTGGTTTGCAAAGTGAGTTCTAGGACATCCAGCCTGTGCTGTTACACAGAGAAACCCTGTTTCAAAAAACAAAACAAACAAACGAAAAACTGGACGTGGTAATGCAAAGCTGTAGTTGAGCTCTCTCTCTAGGAGGCTGAGGCAGGATGATCATTTGAGTTCAGGAGTTCAAGCCCACCGTGAACAACATAGAGTTGAGTCTTAGGGGAAAACTGAGACATAAAATAATGAAGTTTTTTTTTCATTTTTAAATACTATGAGAAGATTTTACATTATGACATGAGGATTATAAAGTTCATATTTCAGTGGCCCTTGAAACTCAACCCTTTGTGTAATTTCTATGTTGTCAGTGGCTGCTGCAAAAGCAGAAGTGATTGGCTGTGACCTAAAGTCTTTGTTTACCTCTGGTTTAGAGGCCAGATACAGAGCTCCCTACATAAAGGCATTTTGTATATAATAAAACTGACATTTCAAAAGGATTGTAAAAAGAATAATGAAACTTGCTTGTCTGCTTGAGAAATGAGGTGCTAATTTTGCATTGGGATTACTTCTGGTAGAGAAGCTAAAACTGAAAAGTTGTGTAGGAAAAACTTGATAGATTTGACTGTTAAAAAAATTACATAATGGAACATAATACCTGACAGCTATTGCACTTAATGCTTGTTGGGTTTTGCTTGATTGTTATAGTAGTACTCGAAGATAAGTTCTAGAATTATCCCCACTTAGATGAGGAAACTAAAACTCATTAAAATGGAGGAACTTGTATTGTAGAGCAGATATTGGAATTTTGGCTATCCAGCTTTGAAGAACTGAAGAAGAAGAACTGAGAAAAATAATTTGCAATATATTAATGCCATTTTATAGGTATTATATGTGTTAGAATTAAATATTCATTTAAATATTCTATTGTATAAATATAGTTTATTTCATCTTTCCTATTCTTTGTTTTTCAATAAATTGCTTTTATTTCATTTTTAAAGCTTATTTTAAGTATATGATATTTTGCCTGCATGCATGTCTCTGCACCATTGAGGCCAGAAAAGGGCATTGGGTCCCTTGGACCTGAAAATATAGACAGTTGTAGGCTGTTATATGGGTGCTGGGAATTAAACCCAGGTCCTCTGGAAAAGCAGCAATGACTCTTATCACTGAGCCATCCATCTCTCCAGACCTAAATTGTTTTTCATTTTTATTCTGCTGTTACATAAACTTATCTTATGCATGTAGCATTATACACTAGTATTAATAATTGTGTAGTAAAAAGTCTTAAAAGTAGAATTAAAGATTACTGAGAGTGTATGCATTTTAATTAAATCTGTTCCACAAAAAGGGGTGCATGTGCATGTGCATGCACACATATATATTTAGTGTATCCCTTATTAAAGGAGTCATAACATCTTAGAAGGAAAATTGGCTATCCAGGGGCTAGAGAGATGGCTCATGGACTAAAACTATATCCTACTGTTACAGAGGACCTGAGTTTGTTTCCCAGTACCACATTGGTAGTTCATAGCTGCTTGGAACTCCAGTTCCAAGGACTCTGGCACCTCTTACCTCAGAGGTACCTACACACACACACACACACACACACACACACCACTTAAAAGTAATAAATTCTTAAAAATTGTCTATCCAGAAATTGTCTATCCTCATTTTATAGAAATCCAGAGAGGTTAAATATTATGACCAAGATTACATAACTGTTAAATAGCTGACTAGATTCTCAAACTTGTTTTTATTCTACCACAGGCTGGCCTATTTTATGCCACTGTTTGGCCAACGTTCAAGTACTATGAGTATAGTTTTCTCCAGAAACACCTTATCAAAAGGATCCATTTAGTGTTGTTCTTGGTACTCCACACAGTACTTGGCACACAGTAGGTACTCTCAAGCATCTGTGGAATAAATGCTGCTTTCTGATGATCAATTCCTTTGTTTCTAAATACTTAACATTTGTAAGTGCTTAAGAAGTAAACAGTTCTAATCTCCTTTTTCCCAGATATAATAGTATTGAATAGTAGTTATGTCTTAAGGTAATTCTGTGGCTTTGTTATGCTGTGTAAAAAAAAAAAAAAAAACTTAAAAAAATAGTTGAAATGGCTCATGCATATATATAATCCAGCACTTGGGAGGCTGACGCTGGAGGATTGCCATGAGTTTGAGGCCAATCTGGACTATAGTGAGTTCTAGGACAACCGGGCTATGTAGAGAGACTAAACAAACAAACAAACAAACAAAAACCTTAAAATTGTATTTAGTTTTTTAAAACTTACATCAAGAAGCCAGTTACCAGTGGTTAACAGGACCAGAGTTTTACATTGCTGTTTGTAGATCTGTTTTCCTTTTTGTAGCACAGGTGTGATGGTGATGAATTCTTTCAGCTTATTTTTATGTCTGAATAAAAGTATTTTACCTTTGTTTTTCAAGGATTATTTTGATGAATCCTCAATTGGTAGACTGGAGAACTGTAGTGAGCACTCTTAAAACTTATTTTGCTGGGCATAGAATTCTAGTGTGGCCTTTTTTTGAGCATTTAAAATGTCTTTAGACTTATTTATTTTTTTATATGTATAAGTATTTTGCGTGCATGTAGATGTGTGTGTGTGTGTGTGTGTGTGTGAGAGAGAGAGAGAGAGAGAGAGAGAGAGAGAGAGAGAGAGAGAGAGAGGCCCTCAGAGGTTAGAAGAGGGCCTGGGTCTCCTGGATCTGGAGTTATGGGTGGTTGTGACCCACAAAGTAGGTGCTGGGAACAGAACCTAGGTTCTCTGTAAGAGCAGCAAGTGTTCTTAACTGCTGAGTCATCTATCTCCCTAGCTCCTCCAAGTATTTACAAGATCACTCCACTTTTTCTCACTTGTATTGTTTCCAGGAGTTCATTTTGTCTCATTAACTTTTTGAGATTTCATTAATTTTTATTTTCCTGTTGTGTCTGCATATATGTCTGTGCACCACATGTGTGCAGTACCTGAAAGGAAAAGTATCAGCTCAGGAAAATGGCAGTTTATAAAGGCACAAGAGGGAACCCCGTGTTAGAATGAGGTGTCCCATTTTAATATGGCAAGCCAAGGGGGGCTTTTGATGGCTAGATTTCAGTACTTTGATAGCTGGACCTTGGTAGTCAGCATCAGGAGGAGGAAGTGGCCAAAAAAGGGAAAAAAACACTGGGGCCTAGCTTTAGGGATGTAATCGGATCATTTTTTAACCAGGCAAAGGGAATTGGGGAGAGAGAAGGGCAAGGTCTGCCAGAGCCATGCTCTCGAGGGGCCTAGTGCCCTTCAGTACCAGAGGAGGCCAGAAAGGGTGGTAGATCCTCTAGGACGGGCAGTTCCAGATGGTTGTAAACCTCCATGCAGGTACTATGAACAGAACCTGGCTCCTCTAGAAGAGCAAAGAGCCAGTGCTCTTAACCCCTGAGCCATCTCCCCAGTCCCACAAGACTGTCACTCCCATCTTTGTTCCTTGTATAGGATGCATTTTTTTTGTATAGCCACTTTTAAGGTAGAATATTTTTTTGTGTGAGTGTCAGATATTGTAAATTCTATTTTGTTGAATGCCAAATATTTTATATTCCTATAAATATTCTTGAAAATTATGGTATCATATGGAAACAATTTAATTCTTTCAGGGTTTGCTTTTAATATTTGTTGGCAGGAGTTAGGTGAATGTTTATAGTTAATTATTTCCTACTACTGAGGCAAGACTTTTTTGAATATTCAAAGCCCCACAAAGTTAAAGCTTTCCAGTCTATCTGCTAGGAGCATATACTGTTCCTGGTTCTATGTAAGTGTGGGGGTTTGTGTCCTTTAGGTTTTTATAGTCTTTTCCTTGGCTTATTTCTTCATAAGCCTACACTAACGAGCAAGCACTCTGCTGAATACCCAAAGGATACCCTCTTTAGTCAAGTTGTATTCCTTGAACCCTTACTGCCTTGGACTTTTCAGACTATCAGGTCGGTCCTGTCAACTCAGAAAATCTGCTGGGCTTTGCTTAGGCTTGCCTTCCTGAATCATACACACATATGTATTTAATATCAGAAACAGTTTCAGGAAGAAAACAAGTAATCACTTGTTTCTCATTTCTCCCAAGGAACGCTACTCTTTATTACCAGTTTTCAATATCTGGAAAACTGTTGTTTCATATTTTGCAGTGTTTGCAGAAGGTGGGCTGTGTGATTTTGGTTGTTTCAAACATAAAGGAAAATCTGGTCCCTGTTATTCGGTCTTGGGATGAAGTCTCTTAGTCTGTTTTTGAGTTAGAATTGATTACTTTGAAAAATTCTTTTAACTAACTCTAAAAATATTTGATTTTGTCTTATATACCTTTAATATCTCATTTTCCTGTCAGTACAATGGTCTTTTTCTCTTAGGCTGGTTGATTTACCTCCCAGCTGTGAGTTAACATCATATATATAACCCATAGACAGTGCACTGAAGATGGAATCAAGGTGTAATAGCAGAAAGGTGTGTGTGTGTGTGTGTGTGTGTGTGTGGTTGGTGTTGAACCTAGGACTTCAAGCATACTTACAAATACTCTACCACTGAACTGTAACTCTAGCCCTTCTAAGATTCTTAGCATCTTAGTACTGTTATAATCTGGTCTTGTGGTATGTATATAGCCAGAGTTCCTTTTATGAACTAGGCAAGTAAGATTTAACAACTACCATAAAGCTATGCAAGCATATGCTAATTAACTACAGAAGCCTTTCTTTTGTTTCATTGGAAAACAGTCAACTGCAATATTAAATCACACATAGGTATTATAAAACCTATAGTTTTATTAAAATGGAGAAAGAATAACTTAGTTTTAATGCTTCCATTTAGTGGTTATATAACCTTATTTAAATCTGTTTATTTCTGAATAATTTTTCTTAAAATGGGGCTAATACTAGCACTATCCTAAAAGGATTGTAGGGAATATGTGAAAAATGGGTTTTAAACTAGGGTCTTTTAGGATTTTTTTAATCACAACCCAATTATTACTATATTATACAATAATAACTATATTATACATGGAAGTCTCATATCTAAATATCTGTATATCTATCTATACACACATTTAATCACAATGTAAAACTTTGTGCTACGCATATTTTCTCTTTCATTGAAAAATAAAGGGCTGGGTGTTGGTGGCGCACGCCCTTAATCCCAGCACTCGGGAGGCAGAGGCAGGCGGATCTCTATGAGTTTGAGGCCAGCCTGGTCTCCAGAGTGAGTGCCAGGATAGGCTCCAAAGCTACACAGAGAAACCCTGTCTCGAAAAACCAAAAAAAGAAAAAAGAAAAGAAAAGTAAACCTTTAGTAGTGACCCATTATGAATTATAGGTCATCGTATAAAATAAATTGTATATATAAAGGAAAAAACTATGAGGTGACCTATTACTAAAAGGTTAATGAAGCATGTGTTGCTTTTATGATCAAGTTATACCTCAAAGTCATTTGAGTGTATTGTATGGTTAAGTATATCAGTCTTTATTAACAGTTTTTGTTGTTGATTTTATTTTTTTCAAGGTAGAGTCTTACTTATATAGCCCTGGTTATCCTGGAACTCACTGTGTAGACCAAGCTGGCCCTGAACTCACAAAGATCCAGGTGCCTCTGAGTCCTGGGATTAATGGTGAAGGCCAATACCCCCAGGTTTATTAACAGCTTATGAAAGATTATGTTTCTACACTTTTAAATGTAGCCTTTCATTTCCCTAACAAGATCGCTAGTAATAACTTATGCACAGTTTATTTTTTCATAATGGCATTCAAGTGGTTCTTCTGTTAAAGATTATGTTTCTAAAGAATGGTAAATCCTTAGAACAAGTATTACCTTTGCATTATCTTTTAACTAGTTTGTTAAAACCTAAAATTTCCCTTATTTTTCTCCAACATTTAAAGAAAATTTAGAATCATCTTGTAAATGTTGTCATAGTAAAAGACACTTAGTGAATAAAATTTTTTGGGATAGTTGTTTGTCGTTTGGTTTACTAAGGTAATAAATGGCTTAGGGAAGTTAAGCCTTTTATTTGTGGCCTACTGTCATAAAAAAGTTTTACTCTTTCCTATATTTTAATGCAAATCACCACAAAATAAAACATAATTGCAGACTTTTCTGCAGCAGGCACCCAGGTTTCCCTGCTGATCAGCTTCCAGGGTTGTGCTGCACTGGATAAAGCATTCCTGTGCAATGAATGTCCCCTGTCCTGTCCCGTTATCCTGCTCAGAAACCCTGGGTTGGATGGAAGTTCTATTTGCAGCAGAGGCCTTCTTGCCTATTCTTGCCTGAGTTTAATCTCCTCTATTTCTAGAGTCAGTAATCCTTAGTTTAGAATTAGACTGCAAGAGCTCACACAACTGTTTGGAGCATGAAAGGTAGCATGTGCTTTTGTAAATTTACCAGTTTTCTCAAGGCAGGCAAACCATAAATCATTTGTGTTTTTTCTTTATATCAACTCCAAATCTTCCAGAATTATAAGGAATCTTTTGCTTTGTCATCCAATGGAAAATGATCTAATGCTCAAGTAATCTACCAGAGAACTTTTGGATATAAAAATGTTTTTAATGTGTTTTCCAGACATCTGTGACCTTTTGAAATTGTACCCACCCCACTTGATTTTTTTAGGCTCCCTAGATTGGTTGAGTTGAGTAATAGAAATTAATGAGCTAGAGTGAGTATATCTGGAGGAACTTTCTCTTGCAGTAAATCATTATTGCTGTAATAAAAACTACTTACAGAAATCTAGTTCCCACATATTACATGCTCTAGTTGGAAAGTGGTGTTAATAAAAAGTTACAAGGAGCATGATTTTAAAATGATTTCATTAGAATCTGTGTAAAAAAAAAACGAACATATTTTTGATGTTTCTTTGATCCAGGAGGTAATGAGTGTATAAACAAATGGGTATAAAGTTTTATGTACAATATTTTAGTATTTTATTTGTTTTTTTCTGACTGTTTTCTCCCAGTGCTTACCAATTAATTTAAGCTGTACCAGCACTTCCCTGGACCTCTACATAGAGTAGTAACATAGCTGCCAGTGATTTGACATACTTAAAGAAACAAAATTCTGATTGACTCTGATCTGTTTCTTTCAGAAAAGTCACCACCCATATAATGGATTTTATAGATCAGATTGCTTAGTGTGGATATCATGTAACCATACAGGAAATATACTTAATTTCTCACTTCTGCAAGTAGTCATGACTACTGAAGAAAGAATCTTTTTAAACTACAGCAGAATTCATTTGGGTACTTTTATGGAAATTCTAATTTTGTTTTTAACTCTTGGTAATTTTTTGCTAAAGTTATGAACAAGCAAAGAGCTTGTTTTGTTAGACGAACACACAGTAGTAAGAATGTCTAGAAGAGGACCAATTCTTCACAGCCGGACCCAGTGGCTGCTGTTGGGGCTTGCTTTGCTCTTCAGTTTAGTGTTATTTATGTACCTCCTGGAATGTGCCCCCCAGACTGATGGAAATGCATCTCTTCCTGGTGTTGTTAGAGAAAATTATGGTAAAGAATATTACCAGGCCCTCCTGCAGGAGCAAGAAGAACATTACCAAACCAGGGCAACCAGTCTGAAACGCCAGATTGCCCAGCTAAAACAAGAATTACAAGAAATGAGTGAGAAGATGAGATCATTGCAAGAGAAAAAGAATGTAGGGGCTAATGGCATAGGCTATCAAGGCAACAGAGAGCAGACACCTAGTGATCTCTTAGAGTTTCTTCATTCCCAGATCGACAGAGCTGAAGTTAGCATAGGAGCCAAACTACCCAGTGAGTATGGAGTCGTTCCCTTTGAAAGTTTTACTTTAATGAAAGTATTTCAGTTGGAAATGGGTCTCACTCGTCATCCTGAAGAAAAGCCAGTTAGAAAGGACAAACGAGATGAATTGGTAGAAGTTATTGAAGCTGGCTTGGAGGTCATTAATAATCCTGATGAAGATGATGAACAGGAAGATGAGGAGGGCCCTGTTGGAGAGAAACTGATATTTAATGAAAATGACTTCATAGAAGGTAATATGAAAAATGTGTTGGTAAGATCCGTGCAAGTTGTCATCTGACCACCGCCCACCTGCTGTGGCGTGTGTGCATGTGCATACAGACACACAAATATAAAAACAATTTCTAATATCTTGATAAATTCTTATGTTAGTATGACAGAATGCTAGTTACATATGCTAAGATATCAATTATTACCATAGTCCTAACGCATTTTCATTTTTAGCCATATAATTTCACCAAAAATTTGAAATGGCTTTTGGAAATAGTTAAAATGAGATTATAATAAAAACAAGAATAATAGTTGGGAAAACAGAATAAATCTAAGCCTAAAGAATTTTAAGTTGAAGGGCTCTTGTGGGCCATGTGATTTGCATTCCTTTCTTATCTGGTGTTGATGTTCCTCTTATGTTTTTAAAAATGTATGAAGTAAGGTTCAAAATTTGAAAACCATTTGATAAGGAAAGAAAAAAAATCTAATGCAGTAGGTTGATGGTATTTCCCATTCTGAGAGAAGCAAATGGTCACAGCATCAAAGGGAATACATACTTTTACATTTGGAAACATAAGGAAACAGCACATTTTCATAATACAGACTGCAAAGAGGATTTGGAGTCTTTTCTTTATTTTTATGTGTATGGGTGTTTTGTCTGCATGTGTAGTGCACCTCATGCTTGCAGTGCTTGTAGAGACCAGAAGGTGTCGGATCCCTTGGGACTGGAGTTACAGACAGTTATCTGCCATGTGAGGACTGGGAGTCAAACTCAGGTCCTCTAGGAGAACAGCCAGTGATCTTAACCTCTGCGCTATCTCTCCAGCCCCAGGGTATGTTTTTTAAGATGGTATAAAACTTAAAGGTTATGTAAATTTTAGACATTTGTTAATTGTTCTAAGAAGAGGTAGTTGTACATCCCTACCTGTGTCCATATTAATGCCCACTGCTAAATATTCAACTACAAAGAAACTCCTTTTGGATGTATGTGTTTTTAAAAGTTATTTTTGCTTTATTATATAAACATCCTCCCGCACAAACCATTCTGTTTGACTCCAGTTCATCATAGCTGTCACTTGTGTGGCTTCTGAAGTCTATCAGCAAGGCATTCTGTTTTGCTGGGGCATTTTAGCTACCTTCTTCCTATGGCCTCCTCTTTTTTCTGCTGTTAATTCATGCAATTTTTTTTTTTTTTACTAGTTATTTCTCTCAAAATTCTTTCAACTTTCTGGAAAGCTTGTTTTTTGTTTTTTTGCTTTTTTCTTTTTTGTTTTTGAATTTCATGGTAGAATTGAAAGCTGCAGAGGAAATAGTATAGTTAAGTGGCATATGACATGTCTTCATACCTGTTCTGAGCTATGACAGTTGTATGTTCTGCAGCTTCTGCTTACAGTTTTCCTAAGCTCCTGTCTCTTTAAGGACTTCTCTTGACTGGAATATAATCTGTCTTTTACTTTCCCTCCACTGTGCCAGGACTGTCTCTCTCCTAAATTAACTACTGGCAACCACTAAGCAACTTCTGTTCCTCTTCCAGGCCTTGGTGTTAATGTCATTCCTTCTAGAAGTAGCCTCTAACCTCAAGCCTAAAGTAGTGATGCTTTCTGTGTACTCATCACCTCTACAATGCGTCCTCTGTCGCAGGATTTGCTGCATTATGTGGTGTTGTCCATATCCTGGTTGGTTGTTCCTTCTAGATTGCAAGCCTTAGGAGGGTTGGGATAAGTCTAACCTTTTCACTCCTGAGTGTTACACTTAAAACTCATATTGCCCAGTCAACCTCCATACTTTCTTCCTAAACAATGATCTTCCTCAGATCATTGTATTGAAATCTATACTAATATTTCTTTGATTTTATATATATATATATGTGTGTATGTTTATGTCTATCTATATGTATATGCATGTGTATATATACATGTGTGTATATGCACATATATGCATACACATAGTACACAGTATATTGTCACTGTTTATTTTTCTGTCTTCCTCACTAGACTTGCCCTTCCTCATAACAGAGACCACATGGTCTCTGTATCATCAATGGCTAACATGAAGGTACTTGATTCATGTTTGTTGAGTTGAACCAAGTAATAAAAGTTTTGGATTTAGAATTTAATATTATAGAAGTAATTTATTTGGCATTATGGCAATAGGGTCTGGTATTAAGGGCAAAAGTCATATGTAAAAAGAAATAATTATTATTGGATGTTATTTTGTGGATTGAATAATGTACCAGAGCAAAGAGCTTCTTTTGTAAACCTTTTCTTACAAAGAGTGGTTGTTCTGGCTGTACATAGGTATTTTCACAACTAGATAAAGTCACTACAGTCTGGTTTAATACTTTCAATCCTTGCCTGAGTGAAATCTTTATTACTATTGAATTTAGACTTTGACATAACTTGTTTTTGTTCCAAACTCTTTCCTTTAGGCTATTACCGCACTGAGAGAGATAAAGGCACACAGTATGAACTCTTTTTTAAGAAAGCAGACCTTATGGAATACAGACATGTGACCCTCTTCCGCCCTTTTGGACCACTCATGAAAGTGAAGAATGAGATGATTGACATTACCAGATCAGTTATTAACATCATTGTGCCGCTTGCTGAAAGGACTGAAGCATTTTCACAGTTTATGCAGAACTTCAGGTAACTCCGAACTTGCAGATGTGGCTAAGTTCTTTAAAATACCATATTTTGTCCAGGTTTACTTAATCTTCATCAAGTATGATAACTTAGAATTATAGAATAATTTCATAGGCTTTAAGGGATATTTTTTAGATTTCTTAAAGCATATATAGTGCATTATATTTCCTGACAGTTTGAGCTGTGAAATAAATTTGAAGGTGCAACTACTTGGAAACTAAATTTGATGACTTTTGTTTGAATTTAAGATAAGCTGGACTTTTTTAAAGATTTATTTTACATGGATGAGTGTTTACCTCCATGTATATATGTGCACCGCATGTGTACGGTGCCCATAGAGGCCAGAAAAGGGCATCAGGTCCCCTGGAACTGGGGTTCTAGATGGTTAAGAACCTCCATGTGGGCGTTGGGAACCAAATCTGGATCCTATGCTAGAGCAACCGGGGATCTTAACCACTGAGCTATCTGTCTAAACCCAATTAAGTTGAACTTTTAAAAGCCAAATACATTGAAGCCTAATTTATGTACAGTAAAAATCCATATAGTCTAGCTGGGCAGTGGTGGTGCATCCCTTTAATCCCAGCCCTCGGGAGGTAGAGGCAGGCAGATCTCTGTGAGTTGGAGGCCAGCCTAGTCTACAAAGCTACACAGAGAAATACTGTCTCAAAAAACCATAAAAACAAAAGAATCCATATAGTCTAAAGTTAATGTAAAGGATATTTTAAGATTAAGTCATATTTTCATGACTTTTGAGAAATGTGTAAACTCATAAACCATGACAATGAGAATCCAGAACATTTCCCTCACCTAGTAAAATCTCTTGAGAGCAATTTGAATTTTAAGATTGAAATAAAGTTAAAAATTCAAACATTCAACTAAAAGTAGGAGAACATTCCATCTTAGGAAGCAGAGTGCTTATTGTGCTATTTTAAAATGCTAAGTGTTAAAGTAAATGGAAAATGCTGCCTTTTTGTTTCAATTTAACAATTGCCATGTTTTAATATACCAGTTTTAGTTCTTTATGAGCCTAACCTTTATTTTCATATATAAAAGTTAGTTAACACTGTTCTATGATCCAGGAGTCATACTTCCAACTGAGTTTTGCCTGTTTGAAAAAGCTCCTGTGAGATATGGTTTCTTACAACTTTTAAAATTGCCTTGGCATTGCTTTAAGAGGCTACATCATCCTCTTTACTAAGTAACCTATATCACGGCAGCAATTCTTGGTGGCAGGTGTAATCACCACTGTACCAGCAGCTAGCTAATCTTCTGAATTGTTCCATTTGAGAACAGTCTCTTGATCTGAGACATTTATTTGTTTGGTTCTGAACTGATTGGACATACTTCCTTAAATAGTTTTTAATTTGCTACCGAGAGAAATCCCACTGCTAATGTCCCAAAAATGTTTTGAAATATAGAAGTAAAGTAGCCATGGCCCACAGAAGTATTGTTCTCACTGACACACAGACCCTGTGCCTTTGCTGTAATACTTTCAAGAATAGGGCAGGATCATCACTTTTTTTTTTTTTTAAAGATTTATTTATTATGTATACAGTATTCTGTCTGCATATATCCCTGCAGGTCAGAAGAGGACACCAGATCTCATTACGGATGGTTGTGAGCCACCATGTGGTTGCTGGGAATTGAACTTAGGACCTCTGGAAGAGCAGCCAGTGCTCTTAACCTCTGAGCCATCTCTCCAGCCCCAGGATCATCACTTTTATATTTACTTAATGCTACATGTCATTTCATTCAGTATTGATAGTGTCTTATTCATTTTCTTGCCAAAATGTCATGTGATTGCTTTCTGAATGAATTGTGCCTTGTATGTTTCCTTTAACAAATGCTATCTTTCAATTCTCTTAGAGATGTTTGTATTCATCAAGACAAGAGGATTCATCTCACAGTTGTGTACTTTGGGAAAGAAGGACTATCTAAAGTCAAGTCTATCCTAGAATCTATCACAAGGTTGGTGAGCCACAAACATGCTAAGTGTTAGCATGTGTAAAAAGGATGAGAATTCAGTTACTGAGTGTTAGTGATTTTAAATAACTACATGAGCAGAACTCAGTAAAATACTGTTGAACAACCTTGAGGACCTGAGCTTGAGTCCTCAGAGCCCAGGTGAAGCTGAGCTTGGCAGCATGTATCCATAATCCAGTGGTTCTTATGCAAGATGGGAGGCAGAGGCAGGAGGATATCCAGAAGTTCACAGACCAGCTGATGTATGCAGTGACAATACAGAGACCCTGTCTCAATATGGAAGGCAAAGTAACGCCCAAGATTGTTCTCTGACATTCACTTGCACACACACACAAATGTGCACACACATGTACACTCATACACATCATGCGTATATACACATACATCACACACACACACACACAGAGTTGTCTGAGCGTGTGTGTATGGGTAGGTGGTAATGATAGTAAGTTCTTCATTTCACATGCACTCTACAAATCCATCTTCCCTTAATTGCATAGCAGGCAGCTTGGGATGATCAGGATGTCCTATGATCTATCCACTTGCTGTATCTTGCAGGTTCTTGTATCACCTTTTCTAAATCTAATCTCTGCTTTAGTGCTCTCCTCAAAATGCCGCTTAGGTCTCCTATCTTTATAGCCTCCCACCTGATTCCGCAGTGTACAGTACACACTGCTTTGTTTCTGTTCTTTTACAGCCAGACTTCATGGAAGAGTACTTCTGTAACTAAGTAGCTCGTGTAGTACCTGGCACATAGTAGATTCTCAAAGATTTGAATGAATGAACTAGTGATTCCTTAATAATTTTCCACTCTTTAAAATGAAAATTTTCTCTCCAAACTGTGGGCCGAAATGTAAGACTCAATTGTCAAATTCGGCCTTTTTCTCTGATACCCCCTTTGATGATTCTTTTACATGTGGTAGCTCGTCCTTCCTTCTTTAAAAATATTCTTATGTGTAGATGTTTTCTTTTTAATGTAGGTATGCTGTCAACTATTAGGTTGGTTGTCTGTTTTTCCTGTACATCTTTCGTGGCTTTTTTTTTTTTTTTTTTTTTACCTTTCTGATGATTGTGAGCAGCCATTTTCCTTGAATCATTCAGCTCACATCTGTTGAGTGCCACCTACAGGTATGCTGCTTGGGATTCTAACTCAGGCAATTGGAAGAATGGGCTTTACACAAGAGTGTAAAGCCCTGTCCCTGTCCTGCAAGGACTCTCACAGCCTTGATGGACAAAAACATGACTCATCACCTGGGCGTTGGTGGTGTACGCCTTTAACCTCAGCACTTGGGAGGCAGAGGCAGGTGTATCTCTGTGAGTTTGAGACCAGCCTGATCTACAAGAGGTAGTTCCAGAACAGGCTCCAAAACAACACAGAGAAACCCTGTCTAGGGAAAACAAAAACAAAAACAAAAAACATGACTCATCTTTCCCTCTCCACATCATAGTAGCCCTCTTTCAGCTCAGAATCAGACCATTTCATAGGCCCTGCCTGGGCCTAGTATCTGAGAGCCAGACTGAGTCTTTTACTCTTTACCTCTCATTTTCTCTGCTGAGTTTACTTTCTATTTGAGGCCTTTTCTCTGTCCCCTCCTTGCCACTGCCACTGCCTAACTCCAGTTCTCACTTCCTTCATGCCCTACTTCCCTCTTTACTGCTTTCAGTCTCCTACCGAGTACCAGTCACTTACCCTGGTGTATCACCAAATCACCTCCCTGTGTTGCCAAGAGTCCTCTGCAGAAAACTGTAGAAACCTTGAGCCTGCTTAAGGAGATTATAAGCAACACAGAAGAATTCCAGAAATGAAAGGATTATTGCAAATACATTTGGAGAAGAAAGTAATCAAAATAACTTTGGGACCTAAAGGATTGGAATCAGACACTTAAATACCATGAAGATTTTCTTGTCGTCTTTGTTTTCTGCATGTTGACTTCATTTTCCTGCTGCAGATTGGCTTTTTCCACAGGGTGAGGGATATGACTGTTGGTGGCTATGGGCATACATCTTCTCAGCTTTGTCATCAGAGAGTTTCAGTAGAGAAAACCCCAGGGGAAAATGTTTTGCCCACCCTTGAACTACTCAGTCATTGTGGCTGAGTGGAGTGGGGCCGTCACACTTGGCCACACATAACTAGGGAATCACTATTATTGGGGGGAGTAGAGTGAGGGATATTCTGTGATGAGGGCATCCAGGCTGGCAGTGGGCAGTTTCTCAAAGAGAAGGGAGAGATTCATATGCCAGAAGATGGAGAGAAGAGCCTGGGTCCCCAGAACTCTTGGGGTCACTGTGTGCATGGTATGAGTCTGCTGGTTTCTCTGTGTTACCCATGCTGTACTGTTGCAAGAGCAGGCGTCCTCCCATGCGTCCTCTTCAGTGATTCTCTAGCATGCGTGCCAGCGACACCTAGTGGACTCACTAACACATAGACGCAAACTCCACCCCTTGCTTCTGAGCCAGGGACTCTTGAGTTGTATGTAGCTCTAGAACGTACCATCTAATTGATGACTTACCAGAAGGCATCAGATTTGAGGGCTTCACTGTAAGAAGCAATGTGCTAGCAGAAAGTGCTGCTGACTCCTCCTTCCTTTGAAGATACTAACAAGGTTGTGTGCCCTGGGGTGGATGGTCCTCAGTAGAGCTTTCCTCTCATTCTCCCTCTTTCACAGTCCGTTGGTGTGACCCTCTCCTCGTTGTTTCCGTATGCATAATCTGACCCAGCTACTTTCTTTGCTTCTGAGGATTATTTGAAATGACCTTTTAACTTGCCACTTTGGGATCCTACCAAGGTGTAATTCAAGTTCCCCATCTGACATTCAGTTACTGTAGGCATAAGCAGTCTCTTCCTAGAACCACTGTTCGTTCATTCCAGCAAGTAGGTTTTGAACTATTATTACTCTGTGAGGGACACTGTGTCGTAGTAATGAAAACAATCTGTTTTAATGGTGTGGGGAGATACCCAAACAAACATGTCCCATGATTCTAAGGGCAACAGCTGAAGAGGAGGATAGAGATTACATATGTCTCTTTCCAAGTACATTTTTAAGACCTCAAAAGACTGTGTTGCCTTTTAAAATATCATACCATTAACATGTTATTTTAAATGTGGGCATTTGGTGAATATTTCTTCTGGATAATGAACAAACACATGAAGCTTAAGATTTCCTTACCCTGTGTGAATATATAACCAATATAATAAGTTATTTGAAATATAAGATATATTTTGTAAGTTCTGTTGAAGGAAGGACATTGGAAAACTTTTAAATGGAACTTATTGGCTCTTGTATGTGCTTTCCTTATAGTGAGTCTGATTTTCACAATTATACTTTGATCTCACTGAATGAAGAATTTAATCGTGGACGAGGACTAAATGTGGGTGCCCAAGCGTGGGACAAGGGAGAAGTCTTGATGTTTTTCTGCGATGTTGATATATATTTCTCAGCCGAATTCCTTAACAGCTGCCGGTTAAATGCTGAGCCAGGTGAGTAAAACTCTGCTGAGTTTGGAGGTCGAGGAGTATCCGAGAGTTCCAGTGTTGAGTCACATTGACTTGAGGGAAAACAAGTCTTATTAAACCTTAGGATGTTTTTAATAGTTGTATTAGGCCTGATTTAATTGAAACAATAAATAGTAAATTGAAATGTTGAGCCTCTGATTTTCAAATCCTGTGTTTTCTTGGAGTCAAATTCCAGTAGTTCTTTTGAAGAGAAGTAAAGAAACGCAGAAGTTGGGTGGGGTGATCTCAGTGGTGTAATGCTTGCCTAGTATGTAGAGAATCCCAAAGTGGGTATGGAAGCATGAGTGAAGGATACAAAAGAGGTAAGTCTGGAAATTGATGACAAGAAATCGGCTCGAGTCAGAGTCATACACATAGGTGGTATAGAGGGGAGAGTTACAAGTCTTAGGAAGATAATGTGCCCCCCAAACACGTACACACACACACACACACACACACACACACACACACACACGCACACAGATATGCAGAGGTCTGTGTACAAGTAGTATTTGATCTCCAGATTATGCGTTTTAAAGTGATTTATAGTACATTTCTTTACATTGTAGATGTAAAAGAAGTTTGTGAATTTATAAGTACAACAAAATAAAGAGGCTGCTGTGTAACAGGTTCCTTGACCATTACTGGATATTTGATGCTAGCATATCTGTCGGAAGCCAGTCATAGCAAGGGTTCCTCTACTGAGGTGAAATGGCCTAGTTAGCTGGTAAGGTCCTTGAATACCATCAGTTTGAATGACAGGGACTTGTCAGCTTTCTCAAATTTTGGTTTAAATTTGTCTGCAGGTCTGTTTTATTACTCTTTATATATCTATGCATTGCACAATATTCTAAGTATTTATTGTTTTATTGAATGTTTGAAGAGTGAAGAACAGAAATGTCTGAATTCCTTGGTGCTTGTCAGAGGTTAATTTATGTGTTACTGCTGAATTGGTGAAAACAAAGAGTAATGAATGGCTCACCTACTGAGCACCCTTGAGAACACTTTTTGTGTTCCTCCACATAGTTGAAAGGCATAAACATGCAACACCTGTTAGTATGTTTTTTCCTATTGTTTGGCAGCTCCAGTTTCATAGTTTGACTTGTTATATGTTATAAAATAGGCAATGATATTCTGTAATTTCAGTATTGGTAAAATTATCACAATGATAAAAGATAAAAAATATTATTCATTTGTAACCTCTTTGCATGAAATAAGCATATATTTTTATTTATAGGTAAAAAGGTGTTTTATCCTGTGGTGTTCAGTCTTTACAATCCTGCCATTGTTTATGCCAACCAGGATGTGCCACCCCCTGTGGAGCAGCAGCTGGTAAGACTTTATGTCTTTGGTTATGAAAGCCTCAATGATTTCTTCTACTTTCCTTTATGTTTGTTGTACAGTAGAAATAAAGTTTCAATTAAAAAATTAACTGTTTCTGACCTGAACATCGGGGAACTCTTGCTCCCCAGACTGATAGCTGGGATACCAGCATGGGACTGATCCAGACCCCAGGAACATAGGTTTCAGTGAAAAAACCTTGGAAATCTACGGGACCTCCTGTAGAAGTTCAGTACTTATCCCTAGCATAGGTATGGACCTTGGGAGCCCATTCCACATAGAGGGATGATACTCCCTGAGCCAAGACACACGGGGGTGGGCCTACGCCCTTTCCCAAAGGATAGACTCTGATGACACCCTATGGAAGGCCTCACCCTCCAGGGGGAGCAGAAAGGATATGTGATAGGTAGGGTTTTAGTTGGGGGGTGGTGGTAGGGGAGGAGGAGAGGGAGAGGAAACTGGGATTGTCATGTAAAACAACCTTGTTTCTAATTCAAATAAAAAAATACGAAAAAAAAATAGCTGTTTCAAGCACAGTTCCATAGCCTCTTTTGCATCCCCACCTCCATCAAAAGGCTTTCATTTCTGTTACTTTAGAAGTAAGTGGTATTGGCTGGAGAAAACATTTAGCCACAAGAAAAACCTTCATGTTCCAGAAAGTGGTGATTATATAGTCACATTTCTACCAACTTATTTTAGTAATACTAAAACTAAAATTAATTTGTATCTACTAACTAGAAACTAAAACTGCTTTGCTGAACCACTTTGAGGGAATAATACACAATTTTATGTAGAGAGTCATGAAAGGCAAATGCCACGCATCAAGCCCTATAGTTACTGCCTAAGCTCTACTTAAATAAGTTTTTAGATGTTAAATAAGCTTACTGTTTGAAATGATGTGGTTTACAGAGACGTTGTAAAGATAGGACATAATCTTCCTGTGTTTCATTCACCTGGTTTCCAGGACCAGCACTTTATGCAACCATGGCACAGAGCAATCATGAACACACACACAATTTCCTGAACCTTATGTTACGTATAGGTCAGTATTGCTTAGGAGTGTATATTCAAATAGGACCAAAGTGGCAAATAGATCGCTCACATCTACCTAATCTCATACCCCAAATCTTTTAAAACTGAACAACTAGCCGGGCATTGATGGCACATGCCTTTGATCTCAGCACTCAAGAGACAGAAGCAGGCGGATCTCTGTGAGTTCAAGGCAGCCTCGTCTACAGAGGGAGTTCCAGGACAGGCTCCAAAGCAATACAGAGAAACCCTGTCTCCAAAAACCAAAAAAAAAAAAAAGAATAACTAGGGAAGGACAGATACCTTCTTCAGTAGTACAGCCACTGATGGGAGCCAGTGCTCCTGTAAATCACTCTCATCTAGAGGCTGTAAGCATCCCTAGTGAAACTTACTGGATTACAGAGAAGGAAAGAAGAGGATAGATGTGGAGGGGGGCACAAAAGGGCAGTGGGGGTGAATATGATCAAAACAAATGATATGTGAGAAAATGTCATGCTGAAGCCTGTTATTGTGTATAATTAGTATATTGTGAATAAAAAGTATTTACATTAATAATTAAAATGGATATATGAGTATTGCAAAATGAGATAAAGTAGCAGGCATACGCTTTAAGACGTTTACATAAGATGACATAAGATTGCTGCTGGACAGTGGATGCGCTCACTCAGCAGGTAAAAGCACTTGCTATGTATGCCTGACAACCCAGATTCCATTCCTGGAATGTGTAATAGAAGGAGAAATGTTGAAGGATAGCATCACCAACAATCTCATGTATCCCTGATGTGTGGTATACAAGAGACAGGGCCCCTCACCTCCAATCTCAGTGTAATCACTAGAAAAGTTTCAGACAAACTCACCCTGAGGGGCACCCTGCAAAATACCTGACCATAACTTCTTAAAATTCAGTGTTGTTAAAAACTCTAAATTCAGTCTCTTTATTTGAGACAGAAACTTGATCTATTTAATATTTAAAGTAATACTAAAAAGACAATAACCACACATAATAGAAAAATTAATTAAAAAGTTTACTGTAATTTACAAAATAATTAGTCAGCTTTTACTAGGAATAAAGGAGCTTTGTGAAGATACTTCTTTTAGAAATCACAGCCATGTAAGGGAGTGGGAACGTAGGCCAGCTCTCAGGGTTCAGCAGATTCATCTCTGCTCGCAGGAATATCTCCTCCTGGGATCTCCACTGAGCAGAGAATCAGAGCCTAGAATAGCAGTATGCATAAATTGACAACATTAAACACAAGCAAACTGCTAATAAGAAATTTAATAGTAGTTACTGTAGTATTATATACCAAGAGGAGGGCACGAAATGTAAATAAATACAAAGGGTAATTACAGAGGAAATGGAACATTAAAAGCTGAGACGTGTAGCCAGACAGTGGTGATGCATGCCTTTAATCCCAGAACTTGGGAGACAGAGGCAGGTGGATCTCTGTGAGTTCAAGGCCCGAATGCTCTACAAAGCAAGTTCCAGTACAGTTAGGGCAGTTACACAGAGAAACCCTATCTCAATAATAATAATAATAATAATAATAATAATAATAATAATAATAAACAAACAACAAAAAAAAACACAAGACATGTGATGTGGGTATATTTCCAGATGGCTTTTGTTTTTGTTGTTTTGGAATTCTTATATTTTTGTTTTTCATTCCATCCTCTCTTTCTCCTTCCCTCCCTCTCTCCCTCCCTCTATCCCTCACTCCCTCCCTCCCTTCCTCCCTCCCCCGAATGCTCTACAAAGCAAGTTCCAGTACAGTTAGGGCAGTTACACAGAGAAACCCTATCTCAATAATAATAATAATAATAATAATAATAATAATATAATGTAGAAAAGAAAAGGAGAAGCCATCATTTCACAGAACTTGAAGGAAATGCCTCGAGAGTCCTGGAAGTTTATAGAAAGAGTTGGAGTCAGTATCTTACTCTATAGCCTAAGGCTGGCCTTTAATTTACTGTTTAACCCATACTGGCCTCAGATTTAAGCCTCAGTCTTCCAAGTACTGGTCATCACAAGTATGTACCACTGTGCCCAAATAAGTGATAACAGCTAATGTTTGTGTGCCCTTTACTGTGTGCATGGTGCTGCTCCATGTGGCCTGTGTGATACTCCTTTAGTCTTCCTGACAGCCTCTGTGATGGATGCTTGCATGACACCCTTGGACAGATGAGAGCCCAGCTGTGCCACTGTTGTGTCTGGTGAACTGACCAGACTGGGGCCCAGGCAGTGTGCTCCATGGTTACTCTGAGGCCTCTGTTACATGAGTTCATCTGATAGTATGGGACTGTTCTGTGCCAAGCACTGCTATTTCACTGAGCGCCCCAACACCCAGAACCCTACCTTGTCACAAGGATCTTTATTCTGGAAGAAGACAAAAATAAAGTCAGATAATAAACACAAACAAAACAAACCAAGTTGTGAAAACTGATGAGGTGATTTCTGTGCTGTGTTCAGTCAAAGGAGCATTTCAGAGATGAGGTTGTGACAGTCTTGGAAGGGAGCAGCTAAGCAGTGACTTGGGTCTCCTTGGGTGATTGGAGCACAGCTGGCAGAGTGGAGGCACCATGCTGAGCCTGGTCACACAGAATGTGTGGAACCCCTAGAAGGGGTTTGTGATGTGTGGTGCGTGTGCTGGCATTTAGAGAGAAGAAAGATTGTAACTCTGACAAGAAGCAGCTAGTAGGACTTTCGCAGTAGATGGAAGTGGGGGTATGGTTATAGCTGTGCAAAAGGTGTTAATTGCACAGATGTTTAGATACTATTTGGACTCAGAACTGAGAAGTTGCTGTTGGACCAGATGTAGAAACTGAGGAAAAGAAAGGAATGAGAATAGGAAAGGTCATGGCTTAGCTGTAGCCTTGGAAGATGTGTGTTACTGTATACAGTCAAGGAGGCTTCCATGTGGCTAACTGCCTTTGTGAGCCTGGCATTCCTGGGGTGAGACTATGGGGCTTAGATACTTAGGTTATGGTTAGCCTGCCTGGTTCATATAGAAATATAGCAATGCAGTAAGTATCAACAACTGGAATTAAAAATCCAAATAACTTTAAAGATGAAACAGAACTAATTAATCCTTTTCTCTAGACTGGTAACATTTGAAGAGTTTTTATAGAAACTATAGTCAAATACTAGGTTCAGTCTTTAGCACTATTTCGAAAGAAAAATAATACTGAAATTATCCTTTCAGTAAAACTATAAATTCATTTATTCATTCAGCATATAAATTGAGTGCTAACCATATGCCTGGCTTTGATATGTGTGCTAATTATGCTGTAGGAATGATCAGAATTTGTGAAAGTCTTGCTGTGAGTGAGCTTTATATCTTAGAGGGGAAGTGTGCCTGCTTCAAGAAAATGGAAATAAGAAGTTTGTCTTCATCTGTTAGTTCCCATCTAAGCAGAGCCCTCAGGGATGTCTGGTTCATTCTGTTTTCTGATCTTACCTCCTATTTTGTACAGCAGCATTTTCAGATTGTCTGAACCCTTGTTACAATTATTTGTCTCTGAAAACCTCTGTCTTCCTGCTAATCTGTGTTCACACATGACTCCTGCTTTACTCCTACTTTAATGGCCTGAGCCCAGCTCCACATTGTGCTTCTCTAGGTCATCCCTTGCCCTGGGCTCCATCTCAGGGGATGGCACATCATTGACCCCTCATTCAAGACTACACAGCCTTGTGTCATCTGGTGTTAGTCCTCGCTTCCACCCATTCAGTCAAAAGCTTTGACTTATGTCCATTCTCTAACTCTTCTCTGAAACATCAGAGAAGCAGAGCGGCCAGCCACTAGAGTTCTTAAATGCTCAAACCAAAGGGTGATCCTGTCCTCAGACTTCGTCTGTCTCTACGAATCCTCAGACTACTCTGAGCTCCTGTCTCCTTCCACCTTATATTCCCTTCTTCACCCAGCCATATCAATCCTGTATCCACCTGTCTAGTGCGGAGATTAAAAGCATGTGATCCCAAGTGCTAGGATCACCTTTGTGTGACCTCTGTTTCTCTTTTAGACAGATTCAGTCTTGTGTAGAACAGGGTGGCCTCAAACTCACAGAGATCCATCTGCCTCTGTCTCCCAAGTGCTAGGATTAAAGGTGCGTACCACCACTGCCTGACCTCTATGGCTAACTAGTGGCTTAGCTCTGCACTCTGATCTTCAGTCGAGCTTTATTTGGTATAGCATAAACAAAATATCACCACATATCACTATGCAGTTCATGCCAGGCCCTGGAACTCACTGTGCAGACCAGGCTGGCCTTAAACTCATAGAGATCCACTTGCCTGTGCCTCCTGAGTACTGGTTAAGATGTGCACCACCATGCCTGGTGTCTTCCTTAATTTATATAGCCCACAAATTGAGGATTATATTTACAATGTTAATGGTTTTAAAATTAATGTTTTATCACACATGAAAATTATATGAAGTCGAAATTCTAGTGTCCATAATGGAGTTTATTGAAGCACACCCTACTCATTTCATTATTATTGTCAATGACTGTTCTCACAATACAAGAGCTGTGACAGACTGTATGTTCTTTAGACCCTAAAATCTATTCCACAGCTTTCTACAAGATATGTTTGTAGACTGTTGGCTACAATACCTCTCCTTGAGTCTTACTCCCTAATCTCCATTGATCTTCTTACCTGCAGGCCTTTGTGAACTGTCGTTTTGTCTGAACTCTTCCCCCAGGACATCTTTACCTTGGTTCCCTTGTCGGTCAGATTCCAATTTCAAGCTTCATTTCTGTGGGAAGCTGTCTCAGTGCTCTGCAGTTTGGATGAGGTACCTTGATTTAGGTCTCCTTACCTTCATGTTCTTACCCAGGCCAGCTTCAGTGGGCCTAAGTAGCCATAGGTACTTTTCTATGTGTACCCTCCTCCTTTGACTGCTGTCCTGTACAGTGTTATCTTACAGAATCCCAACCTTGTTACGGATGACTGCCACCCAGGCCCTTGGGGCTGACTGCATTCCCGCTCCACACACACACCATCTGCCTTACATGACTGAGCCCAGGCTTCCGCTCCTGGGCTGCTGGGAGCCTTGCATACTACTTCTAATCCTACTTCTAATCCCTGCCCCTTCACCTTCAACTTACTTGGTTTCCTATTTCACTTGGAAAAGATAAGCATCCAGTTCTTCATTCTCCTCTCCCGAGCTCTATCTGCCTTACTGCCCCAGCTTCTGTCCATTTCCAGTAGAAGAACTGCCCCATAGGAATGAGGATAGCAACAACTTCCTGGGACCAGCCTGCCCTTTGGTGGTAACTAGAGCTGATCATCTCCCATAACAAGGGCTCCTTCAGTCCTTCTTCCTAACTCTAATCCTAGCATTTTGCCTCTTCTGAATCACCCTAGGGTCTCGCTTATTGTATTCTTGTCAGAGTCATCCCTTCCTTTGTTGGACACTCTTTAAACAAAGCTGTGAATGCTGCCCTCCTGGCTTGCAGTGATGTTTTCCAATTATTTGGATAGCTTCTCCTCTTATTTCTTTCAGGTCCCCGCTCAAAGTTTACCTCCTCAAAGGGTTTTGTAAGAAACTATTACACAGAATAGGCTTTTCCTCTGTCATGCTTTCCCCTTGTCTTGGCCTGTGGCATGTGGCATGGACTTTATGAAATGAATATGTGTTGGTTTGCTATTTTCCTAAAAAATCCCTAATTTTGTGTTTCTCTACTTGGACTTCCAACAGCAACAACTTTGTTTTACTCTGTAAAAAGCCAATGGGAGATATTTTAGGCTTTCCAGGCCAAATGGTCCAGTTGTAACCATGCAGCTCATTCTCCCTGTATTGTGAAAACCCCCATATATCTTTGTCATGATAAAGTTATTTATAAAGTAGGTGGCAAGCAGAAGTTATTAGCCCAGAGCTGTAGTTTGTCGACCACTTGCTTATGCCACCTAAAAAGAACAAAGTGTCTTTTCTACAAATTCCTAAGAGTAAGAGGGTCTAATGTGCCCAACAACACTCCCTTTTTAGCTTGTTGGTTTGAATTCTGTCTTAATACCTGTTAGCAAGCACCTTACACAAAGTGGGGTACAACTGTCTCCCAGGTACAAAGTGTTTATGAACACTGCTAAGAAGCTAAAACTTACAGGCTGTATAGGACCAAATAATTACCAAAACAAAACTGTACCAAAGAAGCTGGGGAAATGGGTGCTGGTAAAGACCCAAATAAGGTGTGTGTGTAGAGGTGATCATGGTACATTTAACTCCTGTCCTATAATGAGTCCCTTGAAGTCAGGACCGTGCTGTTTTGTTATTAGTAACCTCGGCCTGAACTCTGCACAGAGCTTGAGTTCAGTTAAATTGCAAGTGATAAAAACCCTGTGCTCCAGCATGGGGTGGTTGGCAACATGTGGGGTCTGGTTCTCTCCTCCCTTATGCATTCTTGGGCTCACACTCTGGGCATCAGAACATTACCTTAGCAAGCCGTCTCACCAGGCTGCCTTCAGATTTTAAATCTTTAGCTTTAATGACAATAAGGAAGTTTTATTATAAATAAATGTAAATGAAAGTTATCTATTATTCGTATCACATTTACAGAATTTCTAATTAAATAATTTGAAATACTTGCTTCAAAGAAATGTATAAATGATGAAAACAAAGGGAAACACCCATTGTTAGTTCAATGTTCTGAATAATGTATTAGTTTGTAATGTTCTCCATGTTTGTATTAAATGAAATACACTGACCTATTTATAAAAAAAAAATCCTGTGTTCATGCAGATTGGAATATTTATTTGTTTTGTAAAGTTTTAACAGAATAAGAACATATGACCCTTTGTCAGTTACATAAATGACAGAAAAAAAAGTATCTTTTGTAAATGGCTTGTTTAATTATTGATTAAAACTTCTAGTTATTAAAGATTAATCTGAATTTTTTTTCTTCTTTAACATAAGGTTCATAAAAAGGACTCTGGTTTTTGGAGAGATTTTGGCTTTGGGATGACTTGTCAATATCAATCAGATTTCCTGGCCGTTGGTAGGTATACATTACATGTAAGGATAGAATTTGATGTCTTTATTCAAGGCCTTATAGCATTTTCCCAAAAGGTATCAGATTTGAGTACTTTTGGTTAAATTGTAAGGGTTATATCTGAAATAAGAAAGGTATAGTGAAGTTTATAATTAATGTCTTGGATTAGTAAAAGTGTGGTTATAAAGGTAACAACTAAATTTACTAGTTCCTTTAAAAAGAGAACACACATGTTGAGAAAACACTTGACTGCATGTTACTGTGTTTGTTGTTTGGCAACCTCTTCCAGAGCTCTCTAACTTCCCTGTTGTGTCACTAGGTATCACAGCCACAAGTAATCATGGAATACCTACTTAAAGGGCGTCTTCTTTTTCATTTAGAGATGAAGCCCTCTTTAGTTTTCTGTTTAAGTTCTGTGCAGAGTCCCAGCATTAAGACTAAGGGCGAGGGCCCACCTCTGAAGTGGGAGCTGAGAACTTAGCCCAAAGAAGTGGTGAAAGGTCTGGCTTAGTCTCCTTCTTCCCCCCAGTTTGAGTCATGTTCACAAAAAAAGTGTCAAAGAGTAGTTGGGTAAAGAAAAGTCAAGTGAATCCTATTACTCCAGATTATTTATTGTGTGTCTCCACTTCCATAATGTAGTGGAAGCCATGGGATATATGTTATGATATTCTTAATCCATAGTAAATTCACTTTTATAATTAGCCATTTGCTTTTTAAGTCCTTCCACTTTATCTGTGTCTTTATCATTATAATACTTGAATAATGGGAAAACAAGAAGCAGTGATAAAACAAGTGCCATTTCCCTGATTTTTTTACATAGTAAAATAGTAATCATTCACTAGCTTTCAAAAACAGATTTTTGTACCCTGTAACAATATTGTGCATGGCTTGGGGACTGTATTGACTTATAGATCACATGTGAAATTTACTAACTTAAAATGTACAGTTACCTAAGTTGCATGGTTATCACCAATCAATTTAGACTTTTATCACCCTTAAAAGAAACCTTATGCCCACTCGTAATTATCCTCCATTTCCCATCAATTCCCTCCCTCCCAAGCCCATTAATCTACTTCCATTGATTTGCCTCTTCTAAGCACTTAACATAATTGCAGTTGCACATTCCGTGGTCTTTTATTCTTTCACTCATCATGTTTTCAAGGTTCAGCTGTGTGCCATGTATTATTGGGTACTTCGTTCCTTTATTTTTTAGCCAAATAATGCTCCTCTGTATGGTTATATCACATTTGTTCTGTCTGTAGATTGATATTTGGGTTCTGTTTTTAGGCTATTACGAGTATTTCTGCTATGAACATTTGAATATTTGTGTATACACTTTTGTGTAGATAGGTTTTTCATTCCCTTCCTGTAGTAGAATTGCTGGATTATATGGTATGATAGTTCATCTTGAATATCAACTTGAAATAATTTAGAACCACCAAGGAAACAAAACTCTGGGCATGTCTATGAGGTCTATGAGGGATTTTCAAGCTAAACATGGGCTGTACCATTCCATGGGCTAGGGTCCTGAACGGAATAACAAAAACAATCCACATACAAGATCCATCATACTCATGCAGCCATGCCTGCTGTGATGTACCCTTGAACTGGGAGCCAAAGTAATCTTTCCTTAAATAGCTTCATGTCAGGTATTAGTCACAGCAAGGAGAAACATAATACATCAGGTAATTGTATTTCACAAGTTTTCAGGAATTGCCATGGCACTTTCCAAAAGGCTGTATCTGTTTACATTCTCCTAGCAGTATATGATAGTGCTAATGTCTCTACATCCTCATAGTTTTTAAGATTGATTTATGTATTTTATGTATATGAGTGTGATGTCTGAGTGTACACCTGTGCCCCAGAAGAGGGCACCAGATCCTATTATAGATGGTTGTGAGCCACCATGAGGTTGCTGGGAATTGAACCCAGGTCCTCTGGAAGAGCAGCCAGTGCTTTTATCCTCTAAGCCATCCTTCCAGTCCTGTAATCTTTTTTTTTTCTTTTCTTTTTTTTTTTTTTGTTTCATCTGTTATAGAGTGAGTGTGTGTGAAGTAGTGCCTTGGGGTTTTTGTTGTTGGGTTGTTAGTTTAGGTCTCAGTGTTTTAGTAAACTTGGGGCCTGTAATGAGAATTTGGTGCATCCATCTTCCCTGTGCTCTTTCTGGACAGGGCAGCAGCTAGAAGGAGGAGAGAGTTAGATGTTGTCTTAGTTCATGCTCTGACTTAAAAGAATAACAATAACAACAAACCCCAGCAGATGAGGTTCTGGTTGAAGTTTCCCCTGATGCCAGGCTTTATAAGAACTGAATGTACTAATGTATTCCCACCCCACTCTTGTACCTCACTTTCTAGAAACCAGGAATTTTAAAAATTGAGAGGATTTTTTCTGGTGGAACTAGAGGTAAAACTCCCCACTGTGAAGCCCTTTGTGGGTAGGCCCTCTGGAGTCTCTAACTCACAATTTGGGAATTATAGGTTTTCCTGCCCCAGTACTGGCTCCTGAAGAAATTTCTTCTGCAGCAACTTGTGATTCTTTGTACCTTCCTGTCTGTCTCTCCAGGTTTCACCCTGTGACCTTACTTCTCAGAAGGCTCTAAGAGGATGTTGAGTTTTCAGTTTGCTCAGCTTTTTATCCGTTAGGACTGAGTGATGTTTTCTAAGTTTCTTAAATGCTGGACTTAAGACGTTAGATTTAGATTAGATGCATTTAGATTAAGCATCTATACTATCTTTAATATTTGAACAGCTCACTCATGTTTGTAAGGAAAAAAAAAAGCAGAGTTGTGTCACATTAGTAAATCTAGGGCTGTTTAAACTTTATAGAGACCCTAGGTGTGAATGTGAAATTAAATCATGTAGCATAGTTTGAAAGGAGATATAATTTATAAGTCTGGGTCTTAAAGAATTTTTGTTTTGTTTTGTTTTTGTTTTTCGAGACAGGGTTTCTCTGTGTAGCTTTGGAGCCTATCCTGGCACTTGCTCTGGAGACCAGGCTGGCCTCGAACTCACAGAGATCCACCTGCCTCTGCCTCCCGAGTGCTGGGATTAAAGGCGTGCACCACCAATGCCCGGCTAAGAATTTTGTTTTTAAGAATGTTTTCTAACTGTTCAGAAAACTTCAAGTACTTTTTCGTTTTTCTTTCTTCTTTAGAAAGTCAGTTGTTAGTGCTGGGTAGATGGCTCAGTGGCTGCTCTTCCAGAGACCCTGAGTTTGACTCCCAACCACCACATCACCATCTGACGGGATCTGGTGTCCTCCTCTAGCCTGCAGGCACACGTGCAAACCAAGTACTCATTAAATAATTAATTTTTAAAAAGTCAATTGTTTAGCTTGAACCCAATTTTTAAAGTATCTCCATCTCATTGTTGCCCACCACAGTTAGTCTCTACTTTTGCTACTTCGTCAGAATTTTGTTAATAAGATTGTAACATTTATGCTGCCAGGTTTACTGACACTCTTTTCTCTTTAATTAATTCAGTATGGAGATTGGACCTGGTTGCACCCATGCACAGCCTTCATCTTTTTGAGACAGGTTCTTGTAGCTCAGACTGGCCTCAAACTTAAGACCCCCTGCCTCTGCCTCATGAGTGTTGGTATTATAAGAGTGCTACCATGCCCAGTGTTCTTTGAATATTTTTGTTTCTTTTTTCTTTTTTTTTTTTCACATCCCTAATTGAGTAACATGCACCTGGCAACTTCTTCCTTGAATAGGTTCTTCAACTAGCTACTACTATCTTGGCACCTTTTCCAGTTTTCTCCCTTGCCTGAATTCACTTCTCAGCCTTTTGCTGATTTACCTTTCTCTGCCTATGTTTAACCTCTAAAATTTGGCATTTCTTAGTTTTTAAACCTAGGCCTTATTTTTCTTCTGAACTCCTTCAGCAATCCCAGTTCGTTCCTATGGCTTCAAACTATCTGTTGCTAAAATTCCTTCCCTAAAGAAGACGTAAGTAATGTTTACTCTTCCTCCAAAGACCCCAAGGATAAACTGAGGTATAATCCACCACTGCACACCATTGACTTACAGACCAATGGGGGTTACAGGCCAGAGCATAGGTGACTTCACAGCAGCCACACGGGAAAGTCTGCACCAGCATAGATAAAGACTCCTCCCTATGCCATGTACTTTTTTGTCCTCCCAGAGGCTGCTTGCAGTTAGGGCAGAATTGTGTGTCCCTGGTTGGAATATGGAGCTGGATACTGCAGTGAGGGTCCCACAACCATCTCTGCTCCTCCTATGAAGGAAGCTCAGTAGCCAACAAGTTGAGCTGTGGTGATCTTTTGCAAACAGGCTCAGCTGAATTCATGAAGATGGTGGCATTGTGACCCAGAGAACAGTCCTATATAACACTGTGTACCTAGTCTTAAACTTCTGTCTTCAAGTTCATCCATTTCTTGTGTTTTTCCCTATGGAAAGTTTTCTATAACTAAGAAAACCCTGTTTCTTGAAGGATAGAAAAAGTATACTAATGGCGGGGATGTGTTTATATTTCCTTCTCTGACTTTCTGTAGAACTTAGTGTTCTTAAATATTTATCGTGATGGCGATGTTCTCAGCAGCTAATGTTAACTTGCGGAGTCTAAATGTCAGCTGTTCCTGGGATTTCCAAACAGGAAGTTATCCTCCTGTGCTGTCATCTTTGTGCTGTACCGTGCCATCTCATCTAAAGTGGAACACTTAATATTGAGATGCTTGTCTGTGCTCTGTCTGTCAGACACTTGAAGTGTCAGCTTTGTTCCTGCAGGTGGATTCGACTTGGAAGTAAAAGGCTGGGGTGGAGAAGATGTTCATCTTTACCGGAAATACTTACATGGTGATCTGATTGTGATTCGGACTCCAGTCCCTGGTCTTTTCCACCTCTGGCACGAGAAACACTGTGCAGATGAGCTGACGCCTGAGCAGTACCGCATGTGCATCCAGTCCAAAGCCATGAACGAGGCTTCTCACTCCCACCTGGGAATGATGGTCTTCAGGGAGGAAATAGAGATGCATCTTCGCAAACAGGCATACAGAACAAACAGCGACACCGCCGGGTGACAGCCATCAACACAAGAAAGTCTGAACCACAAACCAGCACTGTTTATTCAGCCTTAATTCAAATCCCAGATTCTGTGCCTCTTCCAGAGGGGGAAAATGTTTATTTTTCATGTTCTTCCTGAATTTTTTCTGTAGTTCAGCTTGATGTAAGAAGAAAACGCAGGTGTTTTGATGCAAAGCCGGTTTTGTGAGAGCATTATAGTAGAAACAGTTTACAAAATGAAATTTGGTATTTGTTTCCAAAATAGTTTGAAATAGAGTCTGCCTGGTACCTGTGTTCTGATTGGTCCAAGTGTGCTAGGCCGATGTTGAGTAGCTTGGCACATCTATAGGAAACAGAGTATTGGTTCATCATGCTGTACAGGCAGATAGCACTGCTAACTGCTAAGTCGATCATTCACCTTCAGTTTTTAAATGAGAGCTTCTGTTGATCACATGTGGAATATTTTTCACAGAGAATCATTGGCAAATCTGTAATCTCCAGTCCACCAAGAAGACAGAAATCAAAGCCCTTTAACTTCTTGCCGCTTTACCTCTAAATATCTTCTTTAAGCCAATGGAGAAAGTAGACATAGTTTAGAATCTACTGTTTGATGATAAAGAAAATATATCATTTTATCATGTTCAAAACGCATAGTCAAAACTGCAGTCGATTGTTTTGAGTAAATACGGAAGCATTTGAACAAAGCATTTTATTACGGTACAGGAGAATAGCTGTGTTTGGAAACATCTTTTTATGTCAGCCAGATGCATCAGACCTTCCTGAAGAGGCATAGAAGATATGGACATTACAGTGGGTTTTGTATGGCTCCTGTTTTGCATTGTCTTATTTAGCATGGGTACATATATATTTATTTTCTAATATGTTAATATTTGCCACAACTGTATTTGCATTTATATTATACTTTCTGTTGAAGGAATTTCATTGAAAAAAATGGTTTAATGCATTATATAATAAGATCACTCTGATTTGAGAAAAGGGAAGGAAAGTAATCATAGAAATATGAATTATGGAGTACTTTAAAAATTATGTACAGATTGAATGTTATTTTAATTGAAGTGTAAATTATATTAATGAGGTAAGAGGAACAAGAAATTATATTCTAATAAGACTGTACTATAGTATTTATCACATGGATATTTTATTAGTGGGCCATTTACTAGACAAAGTAAAAGGCATGAGTAATTGTTTTAACCCTTGACTTTTAAAAGGGACCTGTTATTTGTATATAACCCATGAAAACTCAGAAAAAGTCATTGTTGTTCAGTAAGTCATACACTTTCAAATGTTACAAATGCCAAACTTCTAGGTGCTAAAGTGAATCCAGTTTCATAATAACTAATTGATGAGGGTTCTAGCTGGGATTGTGTCTAGGTGTTTTGTTTTGTTTTTTTAAGATGTGTAATGTGCTTTGTGCAGAATAGGAAAAGCCAGCATCTCCTTTGTACACTTTTATTGTGAAGACCAAGAACATGGTATTTGAAATTAGGGAACTTAATTATTTGCAAAGGTGGATTTTTGGCTTGGTTTTAAGATAATCAAATAATTTTTACTTTAACATCTATTTTTTAAAACTAGCTTTTATCTGAAGATGGAAGCTAGGCTATGAGAGCATTACTATATTTTTTACATTAAGTGGTACCAATAAAGTATTTTGTTACCAAAGTTAAATGAAACTGTGGTAAATTAATGTCTTTCTCATTTAAAATATCATAAGTTCAAAAAGGTACACAGTATGCAGTTGTGACATTAAAGACTAATAATGCAAACCCCCATGCACAGCCTGGTGGGCAAGCACCAGTGACTAGCCCCTTTTGTGACTTTTCTAGTACTGTACACTTCCTCACTCTTTCTGTCATAGTCACAATCTGATTTTTGTGATAATTTGTCTGTTTTCTTCATAGGTTTCCCAGCTCTGTATATCTCTACTGTTTAATTTTTGAATTCATATTATTTCATTATATATTTTCCAACTTTTATAAGGTATTATATTCTTAAAGTTCACCCATGTTAATACACAAATTGATTCATTTTTATTATTGAGTAGCATTTTATGAATATACTGTGTTATTGATATTTGTGGTGCTTCCAGGTTTTTTATACTGTTGGTAGCTTTTGGTAGTTTATATTTTTTTTACTGTTTTTTTTCCTGTTACAGGCAGTAGTATCATGAGAATGACTGAACATGTCTCTTGTTAGTGTGCCAGAATTTCTGGAGGAGTAAATCCCTGTATCATTAGTTGTGTGTATATTGAACTTACTTTCCAAAGTAGACCACGTTACAGCACTGGGGGGAGTTTACTTTGTCTCCTTGGTAGTGCTTAATTGTATCAGACATGAAATTATTCTGTTAAATAGAAAAAGAAGAATCTTTTTGGAATTCTTTTTACAAAGCCATGTTACCTTGATACCCAGGCCAGACAAAGACTCTTTTAAAAAAGGAAAAAGAAAAGAATTAATTATAGAACAATCTCCTAGATCAGCAGTTCTCACCTATGAGTCTCGATGCATTTGGGGTCAAATGGCCTTTTCATGGTGGTTGCCTAAAACCATCCTCCTGCATATCAAATATTTACATTATGATCCATAACAGTAGCAAAATTATAGTAATGAAGTAGCAATGAAAATAATTTTATGGTTGGGGTCACCACAACATGAGGAACTATATTAAAAGTCACACATTAGGAAGGTTGAGAACCATTGTCCTAGATGAACATAGGAGCAAGTTTTCTCATTAAACACTTGCAAACTAATTTAAAAAGATCATCCAAAATGGTCAAGTCATCCTAGAGATGCAGTGGTGGTTCAACACACATAAATCAATAAATGTAATCCACCACATAAGTACACTCAAAGATGGAAACCAAATGATTGTCTCATTAGATGCAGAAAAAGCCTCAGCAGAATTCAATATCCCCTCATAGCAAAAGTCCTGAAGAATCCAGAGACACAAGAAACATACCTCAGCCCAATAAAGGCAACAGCAATATACATCAAGCCCACAGTTAATATTATACTCAATGGAGAAAAACTTGAACTACTTCCATTAAAATTAAGAACAAGACAATGATGTTCATTCTCTGCACTCTTGTTCAGCAGTAGGCTTTGAAGTCTTATCTACAGCAATAGGATAACAGAATGAGTTAAAGGGGATACAAATAGAAAAGGAAAGTATCCTTATTTGTAGATGGTAAGATTGTATACATAAAAACCCCTGAAGATGCCACCCAAAAAACACCTGAAGCTGATAAACATACTGAGGAAGAAACAAGATACACAGGTACAACAAAAATCAGTAGCCTTCCTATTTGCCAACAACAAACATACAGAGGGAGAAAGAAAACAATCCCATTCACAAAAAGACTCAAAACGTTTTGGAACTAGTCCAACCAAGGATGAGAAAGGCTTTTACCATGAAAACTTTAAGACACTGAAGAAATGGAAGATACCAGAAGGCAGAAATACTCTCATGCTCATGGACTGGTGGGGTAATAATGGAGATAGTTATCTGTAGCGTGAATAATAAAAACCTAGAGGCAGATATTGGGGCGGGGAGAGCTGAAAAGTCAGAGAAGCAAAGCAGTCAAGCCACTAGAGAGTTCTTACCTCTACCAAGGCTCAGACAAAAAGGGCGATCCTGTCCTCAGTGTGACCACAGACTGAATACCCTGCTATCCTATCTCCACTCACCTTATCTAGTGCTGGGATTAAAGGCGTGCACCACCACTGTATGGCATCTATGGCTGTGACTAGCTTTGTACTCTGATCTTGAGGCAAGTTTTCTTAGATCATAAAATATCACTACATTTCCCTTTTTTGTATAAAAATTTCAAAAAGTTATAAAATATAAGAAAAACTATGTACAGTAACTATATACAATATACACAGGCAATAAGTACATCAACAATGTCTAGTCCATTAACAATTGACAAATTCAGAGAAAATATATCTATTCTATCTTGGTGAGTCCAAAAGGTTGTACGTAATTCACTTTCTGTTTTAACTTGCATTACTAAAACTATCTTTTTATGTCTCTCAACCTTATATACTTTATATTTCCTTTTAAAGATTTTATTTATTTATTATGTACACAACATTCTGCTTCCATGTATATCTGCACACCAGAAGAGGGCATCAGATTTCATAACGGATGGTTGTGAGCCATGTGGTTGCTGGGAATTGAACTCAGGACCTCTGGAAGAGCAGTCAGGGCTCTTAACCTCTGAGCCATCTCTCCAGCCCCCCACTTTATATTTCTTTAGTGAATTTCTTTTCTGAATTTACTAACAAGGAAAACTATAACTATAAAGTCTTCAACTCCATCAGAGGCCTGAGAAGGAAATATTAACTGAGTAAGCAGGAAGTGCAAGCAAGTGGCTTCCAAAAAATGATGAGAAATGACAGAAACAGCTAGCAGCTTGGACAGTCACCCCAAGGTTCCTCTGCATCCATTGGACCATCTATCTTTGCGCTATAGGCCTAGCATATCTGACAGACGTTTCTATGAGGCAGAATTTTTGAAGTCCATTACGCTTTGTCTTGACAATGTTTGGCAGTCACTCTCTTTTATGTCTTGCTTGTCCAGTTAGGACAGTGTACTGTCAGCAGTTGAGGCAAGGGCACTTTCTTGCCCGGTGGCTTACTTTTGCCACAAAGAAAGTAAGCTTCATATAGAGTTTCTTCAATGCCCATCATCTTCTCTAAAGTACATTGGTGCTGTCAGGAACAGACATGTCTTATTGTCATAAAAAGAAAAGAACCTATGTTATTAAAACATCTTAAATGCCAGCCAGGTGATGGTAGCGTATGCCTTTAATCCCAGCACTCAGGAGGCAGAGGCAGGCTCTCTGAGTTTGAAACCAGCCTGGTCTACAAGAGCTAGTTCCAGGACAGCCTCCAAAGCTTCAGAGAAACCCTGTCTCGAAAAAGCAAAATAAATTAATTAATTAATTAATTAAAAAATCTTAAATGCCATAGTCTGTAGCTCTCTGAAGTGTTTGAAGATGATCTATCTAAAATATATCTCTTGACCTTGTAACATACATGACATACAAATTCAATTGTAATAGGTAACTAATTGCTAACCTGCATTTCTCTATTATCCTACATAGTTGGTAATAATAACTTTCAAGGACTAGAAATTTACATTACATTGTTAAATGAGCTGTATGGGTGCAATACCTTGAACAAGATTAGAAATGTATGTACAGTGTGTTTTAATAAAATTAATCTCAAATTTGTATTGATATACAAAATTTGAATACAATATACAAAAATCCAATCCAATATAAAATATTGAAAGTAGTAGTTGCTTTTTAGAAGTTGATTCAGTATCCTATCTTTTTATCTTACCTAGATCCTCCTTTTTTTTCTTTTCAGAGTAAGCTCAATAATCTACCCTTTTATCCTGTCATATCTATAGCCCCCTTCTTCTTTTCAATACAAGAACCCTG